AGCACTGGAGGTTAAGTGTCTGATTATTGCAGGAGCGATCGTCAGTCTGACTATATAAAGAAATATAAAGAAGACAGGTCTTTCTTCTTCATTCTGCGCAAGACGCTGGTGTGAATGGCGCTAGAATAGATGAAAGCGGGACTCCGTGGTACATTTCCCATATCATAGTAAAGCCGATCTTCCCGCGAAGGGCTAGGAATGCAATTCAATGTGGTCGGTCAACCTTTTGATGCTATGTTAATCTTGGCCCTTTCTGCGAATGGGATAGATGGGACGTATTTAGAATGTTTTTTCCAATCTTTCAATAAGAAAGGCGAGGAAGGCAGAGAAAGATGTCTTCTCAGTCAATCATGGAACGATCTGTCCCCTCAGGATGTGTCCTATAGGCACAGAAGAGTCTATTTCTTTCTTCAGTCATTGATAGAGATGGCATATATCCAAATAGTAAAGCTTCTCAATCAAATAGGCTAAGCATCTCGAAATGGAATCCATCCAGCTAGGTATAGGGCAAGCATTGAACATTTAGTCGTAAGGTCGCTGGTCAAAAGTAGCGAAATAGCCGTTGAAAGAAAGGCCTAGACTGCTTCCGGCGGAGCATAGCCTCCTTCGTTCTCGTGCTTACTAGTGGAGCAATAAGGACGACGACCAAGTAAAAGAGGATCTTTGTCTTTGAAAAATATAGGCCAGCTATATGCTTAACAGTCCCAAGTCTATGTGAGATTGGTTACCGATGAAGAACTTGCTTCGGAAGGCAGTCCTTATGTAAGCAACTTGGTTATGAATGCCCGATCTACCATCCTTTATAGTTTTCCTCTTCTCCTTAGAAAAAAAAGAAGGATAAGGCGAAGGGATAAGAAGACAGTTGTCTTTAAGACTTCTCCATTCCGCTTTCGATTTCCATGCTTTCAAGAAAATAAGGCTATCCAGTTGTTGGAATCCCGTAATGAATCGTATAGCCCTTTTGATGATGTCCGAATGCTTCCTTTTTGGACTGACACTTTCTTCGGTGTGCACCCGAAAGGTTCTTCAGACAGCTCTTTGAAGGGAATGCATTGTGCTGTCATCCTATTAGTAAGACGGCTTGTTTTGAAGGTTACTTTACTCGGAATCTAAGGATCAGAGAAAGATTGGCAATCTTACCCGTGGGCATCCATGAGAGGACCTATCTTGGTAGATTGGGAAAAAGTAGACAGACCTCTGTCTGAGGCTCGTTCTAGCTCGACAAACTAAAGCCCTTGAGCGATTCCCTCATAGCCTTCATGATCCTCTGCGCCCATGCTTCCCTCACGATCATTGATCTCAGCCTCCGCAAGTTGAGATGGGTCCATAACAGAATGATCAAAGACATCCTGAACTTCAGAATCATAGAACCTCTCATCATCTGAAGAAGTCGAGATCTCACTTGAGTCAAGTAAGAAGGAAGCTTTAGCACTAGCCTTGAGCGAAATAGGTTGCAACTACAATAGCGGAGAATGCTACTCTAAATGCAGGGCTTAGGCCCCCTCTCACAAAAGGTGTGATGCTTGGATTGCGAAGTCTCTTTTTCATTCTCTTCGTCACGCTCTCCCCATTTTCTATTTACTTAGGATTATACTATAATCCTTTTCACTATTATTACACATTTCAGTCCTTCCTTTATCTTAAAGGATTTTCCTGCTTACAATAAAGGGGCTTCATTTCGTTCATACCAAGCCCGCTGGAAAGGGCTTAAACTTAGAGCATTTCATAAGGGCAGGACCGTAGTCGAGTAATCAGTTAAAGCCGGCATCGCGTCTCATAACAGGGAAATTTCTTTTAGATTCAAGCAAGAAGAAGAAAGGACTAATTGAAATGAAGACTTTTCATCATCTTAGCGCGGACCCTTCTGTTCTGCAACCAGTTCTTATACTCATACGCATCCTGGAAGAACTAATGAAGAAAGAGCTTGGAATTCTTATTTAAGGAGCATGGATCCTTCTCAATATGTCTTTGATCATTCTTCAATTGATCCATCTATTCTTTCAGATCATTCGCGGAAATTGAAAAATACTTAATACTTACACTAACTAATATAATGTGGTCTTTAAAGCCGTACAAATGAAGCAGTACCGAATCCAAGGGATCGGCGTAGTGATACTGTGGGGATGAAAATCCGCCACACGCTAATAAAGTTCAAACGTTAAGGCCAATAACCAGCAAAAAATGAAACAATACTTACTGAAATCCAATTAAATAAAATCATAATAGTTACATAAAAAATGAGAATTGTAGTGGGTGAACTTCGGAGTAACGTGTAATTGAGGACATGATGGATTTATAATTTTCTGAATTATCAATTATTATTTTTTAGAATTTTAGAATTGATAATTTAGCTATTAAACTTTAAAATTTTGGTGATTTATATATATATATATATATCACCTTATGTCCTACCCAATGTTACTAGCTGTAATATATGTGCATGGTATGTAGAGGAATGGATGCTATATATATAGTTTACCTCACAAGGGCCAACCAGCCAGGCAAAGAAGAAGGTGGTGAAAGCAGCGAAATACTCCCGTTTGAATTTTGAGTTTGGAAGAATCGTCCTTATCTGCCCACAATATCATCAACCCCGTTGCATGCATTGTGGTTAGAGAGAGAGAGAGTTGTGGTTGTGTTGATGAGTATACCAAGTGAAGGATTGGAGAGGGAATAGCGTTTGCAAGAGCCTGAACCACAAGGTGACGCTGCTGCGTGACCTCGAACTTCCTCGTTACATCCATTATCGCCTGCACCAAGCTCTCGTATCCCTTCTTCTCGTTTCGAGCCCCTTTCATTTCTCCATCACCATCATCAATGTTAAACTGTCCCAACAATAACAATAACAACAGAGAAAAGCTGTACAAAAAAAAAAACTCACCCCTAGCCTCTTGGACGTGACGGGACAGGTAGTTTATTGCCGCCTTCTCCAACCAGCTGTCGTTATACTCTGTGCTCCTCTTCTCGGCTTCCCCAATAATATTCTCCGACGGCCTGGCCAACACCGCTACCACGAGATGATGACTACTATTGCTGCCCGTCGACTTGTTGTTGATCTTATTACGTACTGCTTGCCCAGGACGTTGAAACCACGGTGTTGATGGTGACGAGGAGATTTTGAGACCAATAATTAGCTTGGTTTCCATGATGAAAATTAAAGTTGAAATAAAAGTAGCTAGCTAGCTAGCTATTACTAGTAGTACACTAGTCAACCAACTTAATTAATGAATGATGAGTAAAAGATCAGTTGCTGATAAGTAGCCAAAGACGATTAGAGAGGCTCAAGCAACGAAACAAACAGAACAGGCTTACTTAAACTTTTGGATGGATGGTATATGCCCAGAAGGATAACAGCAAGAAATTGGAAAAGGAAAAGGACGTCAATATTCGAGCATGGGCTGCAGTTTGGTGACCTTGTTTGGAAGTTCATAAGCTCCGAACATCCCCGAATTCGGCAACTCACAAGATGCTTCATTTGTCCACTTCCCTGTTTCCTCCATCATTCTTATTATTATGGTTACTAGTGATAAAACTAATAAAACGTAAAGAAAACGACACACGATTTACGTAGTTTCCCCGTTTGATGTGAACGAGACTACTCCACGGAGAGTTAGGGCTCTTAGGTTTTGTTCTTATTATCGTAGGACTTACATAAACAACAACAACAACGACAGGTTCGGGTATTAATCCCATGAAAATAACACAATCATCATTAAACAAATAAAATGGACAAACAAGTCCATAGCTCCATGAACACGTGTACATGCTCCGCTACACTCCCCCTCAAGCGGAGACATGAATATTATGAAGTCCAAGCTTAGAAGACAAGTAAGAAACTGATCAGCTCCCAAACCCTTAGTAAATATATCCGCAACCTGATCGCGAGTGGAAATCTTGGCTAGAGCTATCTCCTTAGACACCACACGCTCACGAACGTAGTGACCATCCATCTCAACATGTTTCGTTCGTTCATGAAAATCCGGATTGGTCGCAATATGTAATGCGGCCTGATTGTCACATGACTCGCTATGACACAACACCTAACAATGGCCAAGTGTAACCAATGGAAGGGACTGCAGTATAGTGGCTCAAGTGATAAATATCGAATCCACGGGTCTCTAGAGTTACTATTACTCAGCTTCAGTTTATTATTTAGCAAACCAAATTAAGATGAAAGAACTAAAACTACTCTAGCAAACTACAGTTAAAGTTAATCTAATTACAGGTTGGGAACTCACTTAGGTATGATTCCCCCTAGCCACTAGCCAGATTAACGATTGATGATTTCTAACTTGTTTCACTTTCATTCACAATGCGGAGAATCCTCGACTAGACCTTGAGTCTCGACTAAAGGAACAAGGCCCTCTTGAGTCAATTTCCTAGAGGGACGTATCCTTCTCTAGAACAACTGATCAAGGCATTCTGAACTAGACTCCCTCTATCGAAAGAGGTTCTCAATCGATATAAAGCAGTGAATCAACCCTCGACTAAAGTAATCGATCAACTACTATCAATCTATGGTGCTCTATTGATCTAATCAGGTATTCCCTCTCATAGGATCAAAGCAGAATCAATAATCTCGACTAAAGCAGAATTGAATCATGAAAACATGCATAGATTGAATATGAACTCAAGATTATCAAGTCAGAGTACTCATACAATCATCCAATCAAACAAACATAGCTAGGGTTCCTCAAAACCTAAGTGAAGGGAAGTTACTCCATAGAGAAGAGAGAGACTGCAGTAAGAATCTTCAGATGATCAGTCTTCAAGTCCGGGCTTGTTCCTCGAGCTTCCAAGGCGAAGAAATCCTCCTTCTCTACTCCAAGAATGCCCTCAAATCGCCCTCTCTCTCTAGGGTTCGTCCCTTTGGTGTTTTGGGATCCAAAACCCAGCTCTCCTCTTCTTTGGTTCGGAATTTGGCTTAAAACCAGGAAATCCCGACTCGCACGGCCAGGGTGCACGGCCGTGCATATCACCATTCTGGCCGTGCAACTCAAAACGCAGCGTGTCATTTAGTCGAACTTCAGCCCTCTCGCACGGCCAGGGTGCACGGCCGTGCGAGCTTCAGGGGTTGCCCGTGCGTGTCCTCGGCATAAGGCGCACGGCCATATTGCTCACGTGCACGGCCGTGCAGCCTCCCTGGTCTGCCCGTGCAGCTTGCTCAGCCTCTGTTTAATGCTTCGTTTCTCCCTCGTCCGGACTCCGAATCAATTGCCGTTTGATCCCAGACGCTCGTAGTCTCGTCCTCTTTCGTTTCATAACAAGCTTGCATGATTCTTTGTCCATAAAGTGAGGTAGAAATCCATTCTTCTTCAGGTCATGCCCGAGTTTCTTCTCTCGAATCGTCAATTGATCTCTGATTGACTTGAAACTTGCGCCTATGCTTCACTTTATGTGCTAGGACCTGAAATGGGACAAAGGAATACAACCTAGCATAAAATAGGCCGAAGACGCAATAATTCAAGCTCAAACAATCAAGAAACAAAGGGGAAAACATGTGCAAATACCGAGTCATCATCACAGTATAAGGAAGTGGGAGCAGCCATGTCCACGCCAAGCTCCTGAAACAGGTAACGCAGTCAAATGATCTCACTAACCGTGCTAGCCATAGCACGATATTCAGCCTTTGCAGAAGATCGCACCACAACAGTTTGTTTCTTTGTCCGCCAGGAGATGGGGCTGGCACCGAGTTGAATGAAATAACCGGTGGTTGAGCTTCTAGTCTGCTGACAACCACCCCAATCTGCATCACAGAATGCTGTGAGGTTTAGAGAACTAGTAGAAGGAAGAAACAAACCTTGCTCAGGAGAACCTTTTAAGTAGCGAAGTACACGATGGGCAGCATCAACATGAGCTTGACGGGGATCGTGGACCGCCTGGCTAAGAACATTGACTGCATACACAGTGTCCGATTGGACGAGGGGTCGGTGGCAGGGGCACCTTCAAATGTATTTAGACGATGATTTTGTTCGATGGGGAACGAACAAGGCCGAGCCGCCTAGACACCGGAATCGGCGAGAATGTCCAAGGCAAATTTTCTCTGGGTTAGCACAATGCCTTGCCGGAAACGAGAGACCTCAACACCCAAGAAATATTTCAATGGGCCAAGATCCTTATTGCTCGTCCTGTTTGCGAGCTAAACAAACTAGAACCCCTTTTCATTCTAGCTCTATCAGAACAAAGGATATTTTTGAGATGATTCATATTGATATTTGGGGTGGAACTTGGGTTTATCTCTTGCGCTATAAGTCTGAGGCTGGTCGTTATCTGCAAATGTTCTGTCAACAGGTAGTGCGGCAGTTTGGGAAACGTGTTCGTTGTATTAAGGCTAATAATGGGTTTGAGTTTTAGACCACGGTCTTAACTAATTACTATGAACAGGAGGGTATCGTTCTCCAAACTTTCTGTGTGAACACACCCCCAGCAAAATGGTGTGGTAGAGAGGAAGCACCAGCATTTACTCGACACTGCTCGAACATTGCGGTTTCATGCCAATCTCCCTATACGGTTCTGGGGCGAATGTCTTCTCACTGCAGTCTACCTTATCAACAGGCTACCTACTGTTGCCACCGAAAATCATACCCCCTATGAGCGCATTTTCGGAAAACAGCCATCGTACAGTCATATCCGTACATTTGGATGTCTCGCTTATGCAAAGGATACATCCTCACACTTGGACAAATTTGGTGAAAGGGGGAGAACATGTGTTTTTCTAGGCTATCCTGTTACACAAAAAGGGTACCGTGTCATGGATTAAACTACGCAGAAGCTTTTTACTTCACGCGATGTTGTTTTTTGTGAAGATCGGTTTCCTTTCCATGAGCTTCTTCCGCCTCTTTGTGCTTCAGCCACTGCTCCTCGTGGTGCCATCGAAGATACCGAGGATGAGCTAGTGATTTCGCTTCCCACGCCGGTGCAGCTACCCGACGCTGATGGCACTTCGCCAGACCCCTCTCACTCTTGTCCACCTGCTGCTGACGCGCCTGATGAGGTTGTTCCCAACTCGTCCGCCTCTCCTGTCGTTCCTCCTCCTGAGCCGTGACGTGGGCTCCGTTCCCGCAAACCTCCTGGTTATGTAGTTGATAACTATGATGTTCAGCTACCCACATCACACTCAGGTCATGTTTCCTTAGTTAGATATCTTTTGAATGTTGTGGTTAATTATGCTCGTTTATCCTCTGATCATCGTGTGCCTACTGCAGCTATTTCACGATTATCAGAACCACGTTTTTTTCATGAGGCCGTGCTCACAAATATTGGTGCGACGCCATGCAGTGAGAGGTTACCGCGCTTGAAGCCAATGGTACTTGGGAACTCGTGCAGTTACCCCCTGACAAACGCCTCATTGATTCAAAGTGGGTGTATCGGATCAAGTATAACCCCGACGGCATCATTGAACGATACAAGGCCTGTCTCGTTGCCAAGGGCTACACTCAAGTCGAAGGTGTGGATTTTCATGACACCTTCGCACCTGTGGCCAAGTTAGTCACTGTCCGTTGTGGTTTAGCTCAACTAGGTTGGTTTCTGCACCAACTGGATGTCAATAATGCTTTTTTGCATGGTAATTTGGACGAAGAAGTTTATATGCGAGTCCCTCAAGGTTTCTTTAAGCCCGGTGATAACAGAGTTTGTCGTCTTCGCAAATCTCTTAACAGTCTCAAGCAGGCCTCCCGTAACTGGTACACAAAATTTACTGCAGCACTGGTTGGTTATGGGTTCACTATGTCGAAGGCTGACCCCTCTCTTTTCACCTTTCGGTGCGGTAACACCTTTCTTGTGGCTCTCATTTATGTTGATGATATTATTCTTAGTGGTACGTCCCTTTCAGAGATACAGGAAGTAAAGGATTTTCTTCACCAGGAATTCAGCATTATCGATCTGCTATTTTAGTATAACCTAGCCGAATCACTTGGTTAACGGTTATTCTATTAACCGACAAATTTAATCGAGAACCGACTATACAATTACAGTTAACCGGCTAATTTAAATGGTGCGATTAACGATAAGGTAAGTACAAAGTGTTTAATCGTTAACCGAGAACTAACTAAACGGTTCCGGTTATAACCGAACTGATCATCAACCCTAGGAGAGATCAAATCTCACATTTTTATTTTAATTCACTCCTCAAATGAGCGAATAATTTGGCTGCTCTCAATTGACTGAGAGCAAATTGCGAAGGAAAAGCAGACGATTTGATGCAGCAAAACATGCTTATGGTCCATGAACTTGGCACACAATCATAACAGTCGCAGACCAACAGTTATGGGAACAGAGTCAAGACAACCTCTATAACTTAACAATCCAAACAGAAGTACCTGCTACCGAAATAGAAGATTCCAGTTCTAGTCTAGAAGTACAACCCTACAGGTTAAAGATTCTATGTACTACTACACCAACAGCCATGAGAAGAACACTAGCAAATGAAACATCAGAGAAGACTTGACAAATTAACCCTAAACAACATAATAATAGCTTCACACAACTAAGCCCTAGTTCCAGCTTGACAGAGGCTACAAGAAAAAGATAAACAAAAGCGAGAGAGCTCTCTCTCACTCCTTGCTGGTCTTGTTGATGAGAGACTTGTGGATGTGAGGGATGACACCACCACCAGCAATGGTACCTTTGATGAGCGTGTCGAGCTCCTCATCTCCTCGAATGGCCAGCTGGAGATGCCTGGGCGTGATTCTCTTCACTTTCAAGTCCTTGCTTGCATTCCCAGCAAGCTCAAGAACCTCAGCAGTAAGGTACTCGAGGATTGAGGCCAAGTACACAGCAGCAGTAGCCCCAACTCGGCCATGAGCAGCAATCCTCTGCTTGAGATGGCGATGAATTCGACCAACAGGAAACTGCAGGAAGAGATATATGGAATGAAATGTCCGAATCCCACAAAATTTTCATGGTGAAGAGACCCTTTTACTTCAAATCACATAACACAGTCCACGAGTCAAACATGGAAGTTAGATCAATTCATTTTGAGACAATTTCACCGTCCCAAAGCAAGCATCTTGCAACTTGATTTGGCACAGAAACTGAAAGGACATCAGCTTGGGAAGGCACTGACGCTGAGCTCAAGTGTTACAAAGTGAATGAATCCTTTCAACATTGGAAAATGAACCATGTTATTGAAAACGAAATCTAACAAGAGAGAACACATTCTGACACTAGAATTGAATAGGCAAAACCCCATATGACATTTCTGAATCAGAATACATCTGCATGGCATTAAGGACCGAATCATTCTATGGGAGAACAACTGAACAAGCGCACACAAAAAAGCGTTTAGCTTGTAACTCTAAGACAAAATCCAGCTAAAAAATTCATCACAATCACTGATTCGACAACACTCTGCCCATCATGTTCTGGAACAGGTATAATATTTTCTGGACAACATTAAAGCGAGAACAGAACAGACACTGGAACGTTTTGACTTCACCTGGATACCAGCGCGAGAAGATCTGGAGGTAGGTCTCTTCTTGTCCTTGTCCTTATCTTTGTCCTTGTTAGCGGCGGTGGTCTTCGCTGCCAAAAGCCCTTTCCCTCCTTTTCCTGCCATCGGCTTCTCACCAAAAAGAAGAGAAGAGTCAGATTTGGGATTTCAACAGAAACCCAGCAGCAAGAAATCGGATCTGTTGAACCAACGAAATTCAATACGGCAAGCGATATCTGCAGTAAGGACTTCCGCATTTTACTCTCCGACGACTCCAAGTTTAGTGAATTTCAGATCTGGGGCCATTCAAACTCGAAAGACAAAGACGAGAAGCGGAAAGGGGACAGATGTAGAGAGAGAAACAGTGTACTTTACCTGAATCAGCGACTTGGATACGAGGAAGAACAAGAAGATGAAAAGGGGGGAGAGCGTAGAAGGGACGAACAGTTGCTTCAGGAACGGGAAATACTGTGTTTGGGTAATTTCTTTTTGGGTTTTAAAATGTGTGGGGTTTCGAATTTCAGGAATACGAAACAAAAGGGCGGTTTGATTTCGGAACTTTGGGTGGGAAAATCGAAATTTTTGGAATTTCGAAAATTTTCCCATGCCTCCTCCCTCAAAAATGCACCTCTCTTAGTGTTTTTTTTTTGGCATTGCTATTCGTCGCCCTAAAACACCTTATTCGTCGCCCTAAATTTTATTAAAATGACTCAAATGGCCTTGTCTTCTTCTTCCTCCTTATTGCCTTCAACTGAGTCTCTTCTCTCTTTCTCATCGTTGAGACAGATCAGGAACCCGTCCCAAGCTCGACGGAGACAGAGTTTCAACATGTCTGGAAACAGAGGAAAAAAACTAAACCCTAAAACCTTCTTCCTCCTTCGTGTCCTTCCTCTAGCTTGGTACCAATAGTAAAATCCGGCAGCAGCAGTAGGGAAGCGGCGGTGGTCGGTTGAGGTGGGCAGTGGGCCGGAGAGAAGAATACTCAGCAGTAGGACTGAGGGACGGCGGCCTCCTTCTTCCGCCTTCGTTTACCCTTTCTCCCTTGCTTTCAATTATTCCCAAAATTCTTAATTACTTTTCGACCTAGAATTATTCCAATAATTGCCGAGTTCAGAATCATCACCATCATTAGAAGAAGAAACACGTGCAAGGGAACTTGAGAAACAGGTTCCTACTTATATTTTTTTTTTCATTTTTGGAATTTAGTCCTTCATATATAGTCTTCTTCCTGCTGCGCTGTTGCTTGGGATCGTCCGACAATAGAAGCAGAGAACCGATGACGATCGGGCGGAATTGGGCGGCTGCCTAGAGAAGAATCCGATGACAGCAGCGCCCGCAGGACAGACTAGCTCGGCGGGCTGGGCAAGGTAAGGGATTGTTTGTTTTGGATAAAATGGGACCGGAGGGTGAGAGTGTCAATTTGGTATATTTTAGGGCGATAAATTTAAATTTTAGGGCGACGAATAGCAATTCAGTTTTTTTTTTCTTAATTGCAAGTTTGGTCACTCGAATTGCTATAAAATTTCATGTTTGCCACTCAAATTAATTTATTCCATTTATAGTCACTTGAATTAGTTGAACAGTTCAAGTTCGGTCACTCTCCGTTAACCTCCGTTAACTTTGACTGACGTGACGGTCAACTCTGACAGTTGACCGTTAAATATGTGACGTGGCAAATAAAAATTAATTAAAAAATTAATTAAAAAATTAAAATTTTAGAAATTACACATCATTATCACAAAAAATTATAATTATAAAAAATGAAAAAAGGAAATTCCTTCCACGTAATTATCACAAAAACAAACAACACAAACTCCAAAATTTCCATCCATTAAAAATGAAGCATCAACTCCAAAATTTTATTGCAAACTCCATGAATCAAAACTTCCACACATCCATCCATATCGATGACTACAATATCATGCATCGAATCAACAAGAACTGGAACGGGAAAGGCTGTTGGGAATGAGAATGGTGGGACTGTGCGAGGCGTAAGAAAACTTGACAGAGGCCTTGGGAGCAATCGGGTTGCCGCAAGGTTGTCAAACTGGTTTATACTGTTGTGCCGGTTTGGCAAGTGGAATGGTACGACCGGTGGTATAACCAGTTTGTGCCGGTTCATGCCGGTTAAAAAAAATGTGAAAACAATTAATATCTAATGTATTTAATCAGTTGTCAAAAAAAAAATGTATTTAATCATATATAAAACATATTTGTGGACAATCTAGTTACAATCCAACAAATATCATCAACTTTTAGCTATTACATTCATAAAATGAATAATAAATTAATTTTTTTATTCATTAAGTTCATTAAAATGATATCATTTTATTTAAAATGCGTAAGTCGATCATACCGGTCATACCTGTGGTGTCATGCCGGTTTCATGACCGGCACAGGTTGAACCAGGTTCAACCGGGTGGCATGCCACCGGCATGACAACCATTTGCCGTCATTGACAAGGCACTTGTCGCCGTTCTACTTGAACAGAGCCGGATCGGGTTTACTGGCAGAGTGCTGGCGAATCCTTTGCATGAAACGGCCAGGTTGCTGATGGGGCACACACAGTTGTTGATCACTTCCACGTTCCATTGCAGCTCGCCTTCGCGCGTATTACCGCTCCTCGTCGTCCCAATCGTCACGCCGTTCAGATCGCAGTTGTCCAGCCCTGCAACGACGAACCAACAAAACCCAATTTTCATGTGTGTGGTAAAGACTAAAGACTCTGTCTATGGAGGCAGGGCACGAATCTGAAAGGAATTTTGTGTTGTTTGTTTTCGTGATAATTTCTTTGAGATAATGATGTGTAATTTTTTTTTGTTATAATTTCTTTTTTTCATTTTTTATAATTATAATTTTTTGTGATAATGATGTGTCATTTCCAAAAATTTAGGTTTTATTTTTTAAATTATTTTTTATTTGCCACGTCACACATTTAACGGTCAACTGTCAGAGTTGACCGCCACGTCAGTCAAAGTTAACGGAGGTTAACGGAGAGTGACCGAACTTGAACTGTTCAAATAATTCGAGTGACTATAAATGAAATAAATTAATTTGAGTGGCAAACGTGAAATTTTATAGCAATTCGAGTGACCAAACTTGCAATTAAGCCCTTTTTTTTTACAAAGGGCATTGAATTTCCATTCCTTGTAGCAGAAGCCAAATGATTACAACAGAGGAGCAATTACATCAAGAACTTGAATCCAATCAACCGGCAGATCTTTTTTTGCACATGATCGCGCAATCCAGTTCGCCTTGCAGTTTCTTCTTCTGTTGATGAATTCGAACCTGCTAGTCGGGTGGTTCAAAGCAAAGTTCTTGATCCTGTTGATCCAGGCTGCAACACGCCATGGCCATTCTTCCATTGGGTTTGCAATGGCCTGCACAAGGGTCTGGCAGTCAGTTCTGATCAGGCACGGAGCTGCCAACTCTTCGGCCATTCGTGTTCCCTCCCAGAGGGCCATAGCTTCTGCTTCAAGTGGGGAAAAACAATGCAGGGGCTCAGCTCTCCCATTGCAAACCTGTCCATTGCTGTTCATAACTACGACGCCATATGCCGCCTCCTGTGACTCACTGAAAAAGGATCCGTCACAGTGTATTTCAAAATCATGAATACTCGGCGGTGGGGAGGTTTGGTCAGGGGGTGGAGTGTGCTGAGTGTGGTGGGGTAAGTCTCTTCTCTTCCGTGGGAAAGTGTTCCATTGGTGATGGGCAGTCTGAGCTCTGAAAGTAGTGATTGGGGGCTAGGGGAGAGTCCCTGAAAAAATTCGATCGTTCCTAGTCTTCCAGGTCTGCCACATTAAGAAAATCACATGCTGAATGGTTACAGTAGGGAACCTCGGTTGCAGGGAGACCAGCCAATCCAGTATGTTCGTGAGTGGTGGCGGTGTAGAAAGGTCAGGCCATTCCCGATTCCACCCTCCTGCTGCATGGGGGCAGATGAAGAGACAGTGATGAAGCGATTCTGACTGATAATTGCAAAGTGGGCAGGCCTCAATTGGAGAGCATTTTCTAGCAAACATGTTCGCCTTCGATGCAAGTGCATTCTTTGCACATCTCCAGATAAAAAACTTCAGCTTTGGTGGCATAGATAAGCTCCACAGCCATTTCCAGTTATCTTTGGCTGAGTCAGGGAAAGGGTTCACTGTTCCTCGTGTGCCTCTAGTTTGGTTGTGGAACAAGTGGAAGGCTGATTTTACTGAGAAGTCGCATTTTTCCGAGCCTCTCCATGCCCATAAATCATTCATGTTCGTGGGTCCGATTGGTGTGGCTCTTGTGAGGAGGATTTCTTGTGGGTTAAGAAATTGCTCCAGCAGGTCGACCTTCCATTCTCTAGAGATGGAATCAATGAAAGATGCAGTAGAGGTTGGGTCTGGTGATCCATTGGAGAGGATGGGCCCTGGTCGATCAAACCGCCACGGATCCTGGAACATTTTTGTTGTCATCCCATTCCCAATGACCCTAATCACTCCCTGGTGCATCCAACATTTAGCTTCCTAGATGCTTGCCCATATCCATGAAGCTTTGCTTCCCTTTTTTGCTGAAAGGAAGTCCCCTCTAGGGAAATAGATGCTTTTAAGAACCTTAACCCACAAGGCTTCAGGGTTGTTGAGGATTCTCCAGGCTTGTTTTGCCAGCAGGGCCATGTTGAAAATGTGGAAGGGTCTGAAGCCTAAACCACCTTCCTCTTTTGGAGCATAAAGGACGTGACCGGCTCGACAATGGATTGATTTTTTTGTCATGTTCCCTCCCCAGAATAAATTCCTCATCATAGAGTCCATCTTCTTTGTAGTAGATCGAGGGAGGAGAAAGAGGCACATAATGAATGACAGTATCGCTTGAAAAACTGCTTTAAGGAGGGTTTCTTTACCTCCTGGGGAAAGAAGAAGGCTTTTCCACGATTCTCCTTTACTTTCCATTCTTCGGATGAGGAATTGGAATGTTTCTTTTTTTGACCTTCCCCACTCAGTTGGGACTCCGAGGTATTTTGAGTGACAGTTTGTCTCTGTGAATCCCACTGTGTGAATAATACTTCGTTTTTCATCATCGGGGACATTGTGGCTGAAAAAGATAGAAGATTTTTCCTTGTTGACCTCCTGTCCTGTTATCGATCCATAATCATTGAGAATGTTCAGGATTCTCCCTGCTTCTCCAGTTGAGGCTTCTCCAAAAATGACAGTGTCATAAGCAAACAGGCAATGTGTGATAATAGGGCATGCTCTGTTGAGCTTCAAACCTCTTAGATCTCCTCTTTGAACATCTTTTTCAATCAGGAACGAAAGGGCGTTAGACATCAAGATGAAAAGAAGAGGGGAGAGAGGATCTCCTTGACGGATACCCCTAGATGGGATGAATTCCTCAGTAGGGTTCCCATTGAATAGAATTCTGAACTTCAGTGTTGTAATGCAGGTCCTAACCCATCCACACCATGTCTCACTAAACCCATAGGCTTTCAATAACTCAATAAGGAAGTCCCATTCCACCAGATCATATGCTTTTTTCATATCGAGCTTCATCATCATATTTTTCTGTGCCCCATTTTTGTTTTTCTTGAAATGGTTGAGAACTTCATGTACGATTACTATATTGTCTTGTATTTGTCTCCCACCTGTAAAAGCTACTTGGAGCTCATTGACAAGGTACGGCAAGAAAGGATGAAGTCTGTTAGACAGAATCTTTGTGATTACCTTGTACCTGAAGTTACAACAGCTGATAGGCCTGAATTGTCCAATCATCTCAGGGGGCTTCAACCTTGGGGATGAGGGTGATGTAGGTATCGTTCCAGTTGGGTGGCATAACATTGGTGTTGAAGAACAAGATAATCTCCTGGCAGAACAAGTCACCAATCAGGTCCCAGTACCTTCTGAAGAAATGTCCTGGAAAGCCATCAGGCCCCGGGGCTTTGTTGGCTCCAAGTTGAAAAACAGCTTAACGTATTTCATCTTTCTCAAATCTAGCACTGAGGGCCAAATTGTCCTCTTGGAAAACCAAAGAGGGGAAACCATTGAGGATAGCATGGTCACAAGGTTCTGATATGCTTTTGAATAGGTTGATATAGAACCCATTGACATGTCCCTCAAGGTTTTGGTCGTTGTTCATCCATCTCCCAGTCTCATCTTTAAGTTTCACAATGCGGTTCCTGTTTCTTCTTTTAATGGTGCTAGCATGAAAGAAGCTCGTGTTTTGATCTCCTTCTTGGAGCCAGCTGTTTCTGGACCTTTGAACCCAGAACTCTTCTTCCAGTTTCCAAGCTGTGTCCAGTTCCTGAAGCAGGCCCTTTTCTTCTTCAACTATCGTAGAGTCTCTAATCGGACCTTGTAGCTCTTGTAGTCTTCGTCTAATTTCCTTTTCCCTCCTGATTTTATTTGCTCTGTCCGCAATTGACCAAAGTCGAAGCTCATCCCTGCAGTTGTCGAGGATCTCATGTACTCTTCCCCCATTTTTCCAAATATTATCGATGATCTGGTTACACTCCCCATTCTCCCTCCATCTTTTATCAAATCAAAAGGGTGTATTTCTGTTCTGCTTTTTCGGATGAAGATCAATTCTGATCGGGCAATGATCAGATTCAACAAAATCTTCATGGAACACCGTGGCTCCTCCGAACTTGAGTCTCCAAGATGCAGAGCATAAGCCTCTTTCGAGACGTTCTCTAATCAGGTCATGTCCCTGCTGGTTATTGGTCCAGGTGAAGACCTGACCTGAGAAGCCGAGGTCGATCAGGGCATTCTGCGAGATGAAGTACTTGAACGGATCAACATTTTCATTCCTCAGGGGGCATCACCACTGTTTTTCAAAAGGCTGTAGGGCTACATTAAGGTCTCCTACTATTAACCAACTATCTTCTGGAGAGTCCCTAATGATCGTAAGTCGATCCCAGAGATTCTTCCTCTCCACCGCCGTGGTGGGAGCATGGAAAAAAGTACAGTAGAATTCAACACCTTCCCTACATATGCTAACATCCATATAGGTTTTACACACATCAATAACTCGGACATCCACGTCCTCTTTCCACCACAGTGCCAGACCACTACCTTCTACTGCCGGGCTGACATACTTGGCATAATCAAACTTCATAGCTCTTCTTTTTTCCTCCATGAAAGGGTCATCCTTCCTGGTTTCCATCAGAAAGAGAATTGAAGGGCCAAACTGGTGGCAGAGCCTACCACAGTAGTTCCTTGTAAGGGATTGACCAAATCCCCTACAATTCCATCTCAGGATCCTCATTCCTGGTTTGGCGGCTTCAGGCTTGCCGCCGCTGCCCTCGGAGAGTTCGATTCGCCTTCCCCGGATTGGTTTCCTTCTGCTATTAGTTCTGCAATGCTCCTCCTCCTTAAAATGTTTCTCCTCCTTTGGTAAGTCTTCCTATTTTCACCTGGAACAAAAGCCAAAGAATCAAATGATATGTTAGCCGAGGTCTCCGCCTGTGGGAGTGGGCTACTTGGGCTGGTAAAATGCTCCGGTTTCCTCTTTTTTTCCGGCCTGGGCCTGATCTCCTCTTCCCCGGTGACTATTTCCTTCTCTTGGATTGGGGTGGTGATCTGTTCTTGTGGGCTTAGTGTCGGGCCCACTGTTATCTTCGCTGGAGTAGGATTGATGGTTTCCTCTGATGCATAGTATGGGCTTGCTAGGGAGAGGCTTCGGCCCATTTCGAACAGGCCCGCTATGATAGATTATGCATTTTTAATGTAAGGTGTGTTTGGATAGAAAGATTTGGTATTTGTAATTTAAATTTTTAAATCTCAAATTATTTGTTTTGATATTAATTACATTCGGTATTTGAATTTGTGTCAAATTAATGAGTTGATTTCCAAATAGATGTCTAGTGTATTACTTGTCAACTTCAAATACATTTGAACAACAACTAGTGATTTTAAATTCCTTCTAACAATATATTCGACTTGTTTGTAAAATTTTAAAAGTTTAAAATTTTAGGTAATATATTGTGAGGCAAAATATGTAAAGGTATCAATACCATCAAAATTTCTGGACTTTTTTTAAAATTTTAAAAGTTTAGGTATCAAATGTTCAAAAAAATTCAAAATTCAAAATTTAAAATAATAATAAATTACAAATTATTATCCAAATAATGAATGTGAATTTCATGTATTTCAATTAAATTAAGGGTGCGTTTGGATAGGCTTATTTCGAATGTAAGGTATTTGAAATATATGTATTTAAAATGCATGTATTTGAAATATTAGCATTTGAAATGCATGTAATTCAAATTTGTTGTCTGGATAATAAATTGTAATGACTGGACTGGACTAAACAGTATAAACAGGAAGGGACTATCTGAATTGTCAACGAGACCTACTCTCTTTGATGTGTTGTTCACTTGTTATTACCGTTCACAGTGGGTGTCACAAGAAATAACAAATCCCAATGAAAATGAATTGACAGCTAAACTTGGTCACTCAAATTTAGACCTGACAAATTACAACTCAACCTGGTGACCTGACCCGAATCCGTCCAAAAAGTAAAAGTTTTTATAACCCGAAATCTGAATGACCCGAACCCGATAACCCGTGATTTTTTTAGTCGGGTTGGGTTGGTTAGCGGGTCGACCCATTAGACCCGTTCCATTTTATATATCACTTCCAAAATTATAAAATCACTCATAAATTGGTGACATGTTTAAAAAAATTCATAAGAATTTGAATGACATGTTTGCTGTTTAAGGATAATCAAATAACATGTGTTTCTTGTAGTAGCATTACTCTCGTGATTGTTTTTTGACGATTTTTGCAATTTGTATTTCATTTCATTGGCATGGGAGGATTTGAGAATATGTTAATTGACATATGTTAGGTAAACTATTGTCATGCATATGTGAAATTTTGTGTTCTTTAAGAAAATATGAAGCATGTATGATATTGTTTCTTAGAGCGCTCATAACCCGAAATGGCCCATAACCCGACCCGAAATCGAATGGGTTGGGTCAATATTTGACCCGAAATCAACCAATCTAACATGACCCGACTCTTAACCGGAGGCCCCAACCAAAAATTACCCAACCTGACCCGGTTGCCAGGTCTACTCAAATTACGAAAGTTCTTCACGTTTGTCACCCCAATTATTTTTCTTTCTTATTCGCCACTAACTTTACGAATTATTTTACCGTTAGTCATTGGCCATATCTCTGTTAACTCTGTCATTTTTTGATGACGTGACAAACGAAACTGCTAACCGGTGAAAAATAATTAATTAACAGTTCATCCTCACCCTCTCGCTCTGCATCCCGCGAGCTTATTCCCTCCACCCTTCGTTACTTCTAGTGCCTTTCTTCTTCTTGCTGCATCTTTAACTATACGAATTGTTTCCCCGCAGATGAAATCACAATGAACAAAAATAGAGAGCTAGCATGAATTAAAAATTAAAGGAAAAATCAGAAATCAAGTTTGTAAACTCATGCATTCGATCTATTGTTGACGACCAACGGAGGGGATGGTAAAGAGCTTCTTGTATGTTTGCACAAGTCAACCCAAAAAAAGAATCGAGGTTCTCCAAATGGAGCTCATGGTCGCCAACAGATGAAGCAGCAAGCAGAGAGAGGTGGGATCTAGGTTAGATTGCACCAATCGAACTCTTGGCTCAACTCTAATCACAACGCTCACTAGAAGGGATTTCAATTGTCGGGGCAATGAGTTGGAAATGGTAGGACGACTGCAGAAGATGGCGTTGAGGGAACTGGATTGAGGAGAAGACTAGGTGATGAGTTTGACGAGACGGAGAAGTAAGGACGGACGATGGAAGTGGGAGTGCTTCTGCAATCTAGGTGTTGTGGAAGAGGAAGTGCTTCTGCACTCGAATTGTTGAGTTTCATCACAGCCGGTGCCATTAGAATTGATTATCCATTTTTTTATAAATCGTGAATGAATTGGTGGTATGGGGTGGTTTCTTCCTCCGTCTCTGTCATTACGGTACAAGGCAGTCGCTGCTACGGTCAATGAAGATTCTTTGCGTGGCGCCTTTTAGGTTGCGGCAAAGAGTAACTCAATTGGAGCGAGTGAGCCAAATTTGACATGATTAGTTTGGGGATTGAAATTTGTTAGTTTATAGAGGGAATTGTTGTGTTGGAAAGCTTCATTGTATTCATGTATTACAAAGGTTTATATACAAATAGATTACAACAATGAGGAATGGCTACAGTAGTGATACATTGAAGGGCTCGGTCTGTGGATTGGCGATCTCGATGGTGCCATACGGAAAGACTTGACTGACCGTGAATTTTCCCGACCATCTAGAATGCAGCTTGCCCTTAAAGAGTTCCAGGAGAGAGTTGTATAAGAGAACTTGATTTCCCACATGAAACTCTTAAGGCCCTCTTAGATGAGTTTCGTGGAGACGCTTGGTCCTCTCCTTATATAGACGGGTGTTCTCATAGGCGTGATTATGCCACTCTTCCAACTCCACCAGCTGCATTTTCCTCTCGGTATCTGCAAGACTCAGATCAAGGTTGAGCAGCTTAAGGGCCCAGAAAGCCTTATGCTCTAGCTCAACGGGTAGATAAATAGCCTTTCCATAGACAAACCGATATGGAGAAGTACCCAATCAGCGTCTTTTAGGCTGTCCTATATGCGCATACAGCATCATCGAGCTTGGTAGAAAATCCTTGTGAGATTGATCCACCGTCTTTTCAATGATCCGCTTACATTCCTGGTTCTTCATTCCGGCTTGACCATTCGCCCAGGGGTGGTAAGCCATGGACACCTTATGCTTAACATGATAGCGAGAGAGGAGCTTAGTGAATTGTCCTTGAAAATGGGTACCTCTGTTGCTGATGATGGCTCGAGGTGTCCCGAACCGGGAAATGAGCTGCTTCATAAATGAACACACACGTCTTGCATCATTGGTGGGCATGGCCTGTGTTTTTTTCCACCTTGAGACGTAGTCCACAGCAACCAAGATATAAAGATTACCGAATGAAGGAGGAAAGGGACCTTTTATGTCAATGCCCCAGACATTAAAAATCTCACATGTTACAAACGACTTCTGGGGCATCTCAACACGTGCAGAGATGTTACCTGAACTCTGGCAGCGATCGCACTTGCGTGCGAAGGCCTCTGCATCCTTGAAGAGCGTGTGCCAATAGAAGCCCACTAAAGCACCTTCCGCGCCGTGCAGTTTCCTCCATGATGACCGCCAGCGGGTCCTCGTGATAGTGAGATAGGATGTCTCCCATCTCGTGCTCCATCATGCATCGTCGTATCACGACATATACTCCGATTCGGAAGAGGTATGGATCTTCCCAAAAATAATAATTCAGGTTGGAAAATAATTTGTGTTTAGCGTGAGTGGCCATCCCCTTGGGTAACTAATTGCCTACTAGATATTTGGCAAGATAAGATTACCAAGGGGTGACACTCTTCCCCCAAGCACATCGCCAGCAATCGCTCGTGATTCGGTGATCTTTTCCACAAAATTTTCCACCAGATAAGCTTCCAATCGTGAAAGATGATCTGCAACAACGTTCTCCGCTCCTTTCTTGTCTCGAATCTCTATGTAGAACTCCTATAGTGGTGTAGTTCTCCTGAGCATCGTTCAAGTTCTTCGACACACAATAGATTTGCTAGAAATGCTTGTCGCATCTCTGACCAAGAACAACTCTAACTGCATAGTCATTTGCATCGCACATCAGCTCAAAAGGAAGAGACCAATCCGGAGTCACCATGATGGGTGCATGGGTAAGCTTCTCCTTCAACGTCTCAAATGCAGCTGTGCACTCTAGAGTGAAATGAAATGGTGCATCCTTTTTCAACAGTTTGGTCAAAGGCAGGGCGATCTTCGATAAATCCTTAATAAAACGCCGCTAGAAGCATGCACGATCCAGAAAGTTGTGGATCCCTTTCACATAAAGGGGAGGAGGGAGCTTATTGGTCGTCTCAATCTTCGCTCGAGATACCTTAATACCCTGTTGGAGATCTTGTGCCCAAGCATTATCCCTTCTCGAACCATGAAATGGCACTTCTCCCAGCTAAGTGCCAAGTTCGTCTCCTCGCACCTCTTCAGGACAAGTTCCAGGTTATGGAAACAATGAGTGAAGGAGTAGATCTCATGTCTCGCCAGCCTCTCCAGCATCTGGTCAATGAAAGGAAGCGGGAAATGGTCATTCCTGGTGGCGTCGTTCAAGTGTCGGTAGTCACAGTTTGTATCGGGATCAGCTCGTTCTTCTCGTTCGGAACAAGAGTCATCCCGCCTTTCTTCGGAACCACCTGGGTGGAACTGACCCACTTGCTATCAGATATAATGAAGATGATCTCGACCTCCATCAGCTTCACGATCTTGGCTTGGACCACTCCCTCCAAGTTAGGAGTCACCCTCCAATGCGGCTGCCTAACTGGCTTAACTTCATCTTCCATTAGAATTATATGGGAGCATAAGGATGGGCTTATGCCTCTGATATCAGTGATCTTCCACGTCATGGCCTGGGCATACTTCTTCAATAGAACCACCAGACTGCTCTTTTTCTGGGGGGCAGTTCTGAGCTGATGGTGACCAGAAGCTTATTCCCCTCCCGGAGAAATGCATACTACAGATGAGAGGGGAGGGACTTAAGCTCCAGCTCTGGTGGATCCTCCAACAATATAGCGATCCAGGGTGAGACGTGGATTCTCTCGCCCCTCGATCGCTGCTCCCTCCAACTCCGCTAACTGCTCCGCCAGCTGCAGCTCTTGTGATTCTTGTTCCCTAGAAAAAGACAACGCTCGAGGAAATAATTAGTATCCGCACTCGTGATAGAGAGTGCAATCTCATAATCAGCAACCACATCACAATAGTCCAAATCATCATGAAGCTGGGGGTGTTTCATATTATCATAAACAGAAAGGTGATTTGTTCACCCCCAGCCCGCAAAATCAACTTGCGATCATTCACATCAATGAGTTCCTTGGTGATGGCAAGAAAAGGTCGACCCAGAATCAAAGGAACCCGACATCCTCATTTATATCAAGAACCAAAAAATCAGCAAGATATGCAAATGTCCCTATAGTAACTATCAGATCCTCTAGAATTCTCCTAGGATGCACAATAGATCGATCAACTAACTCAATGCTCATCCTAGTGTTACAAGGTTCACCTAGGCCTAGCTTCTGAAAAAGTTTATATGGCATGACATTTATGCTAGCGCCTAAATCCGCCAAGGTCTTCCCTACATGCAAGCTACCTATTATGCAACAGATAGTAAAACTTCCTGGGTCTTTGCGCTTCTCCGGTAGCTTGTTCTGTAGGATGGCAGAAAACTCCTCGTTGAGCATCACCGTCCACAGCTCTCCAAGCTTTCTCTTGTTGGTGAGGAGGTCTTTCATGAAATTGGCGTATTTGGGCATCTTCGGCAATGCCTCAACGAAAGGCATATTGATGTTCACCTGCTTCAACATTGCCACGAACTTGGCAAACTCAGTCTCCATTCGGTCTTTGTGGCTTTGTGCAACCAAGTAGGAAAGGGAAGTTGAGGAACATACTCCTTCACCACTGAGTGTGGCTTGGGAGCATGCACCTCAACTTCCTTCTTCATTTCTTCCTTATTGGCTGGAAGTGCTGAAGTAGTTCTTTCTTTCCCCTATCTGTCTTGGACGGGGATCTCCGCAGTTACCTTGCCGCTCCTGGTGGTAATGGCGCTCAAGTGGGCATCCGGATTTGCAGGATTGGGGATGGTATGACCAGGTACCCTCCGTGCCACAACTTTAGCCACACTACCAAGTTGGGTTTTATATCCTACAGAATAACCTGGATGTTTCTCTGACCAGCTTTCAACTCTAGAAACTTGTTTGAAGCCTTTTCCAAGAACCGCTCGATGTTGTTGAATTTCTGCGTTCAGCTGCTGAAACTGTTGTTGCTTCTGTTAAGTAATAGGTTTCCCTTGTCTGGGCTGATAAAGAGGTTGTTGCGGCTGCTAGAATTGGTAGGCCTGGTATGGCGGCCTTTGAAAGCCTGGTGGTCCCTGTTAGACTGGTGGCTCAGGATTACTGTTACCACTCAAAGAGAAGTTAGGATGTTGGCGTCACCCCTCGTTATAAGTGTTGTTGTAGGGGTCGTAGCGCCTAGCATTGCCGATGAAGTTCGGCTGCTCTTGAGGTGTAGTAGATTCCCTCATTGCCTAATAATTTTTAAACCGTGTTGTGGCTGCTCTCGCACCACTGGCAATACATTACCTGCTGCTGCCCTGTACCGGGAACCATCCCATTTCCATCCATCGCTGGGACCATCTTAGTGATCGCACTCACCAGATCGGACGACGGGGTGTCCATGGTGTTCACACCACCACCCGGTGCTCGCCAGGATCTCTTAGCAGATCCCAATCATAGTCGTGCTCCGCCATGTCTTCAAAGAGATGCTTCAACATTGGTGGCTTCTTAGTCAACATGTTCCCGCCACAAACCGAGTCGATCAACTGCTTATCTTCAGGAAAGAGAGACCGATAGAAGGTACTCACTTTGAAGGCATCATTGATACCATGGTTGGGACACTTCAAGAAGAGACCTTGATATCTCTCCCAAGCGTCCTGGATAGTCTCTTCCTCCTCTTGGGCAAAATGGGTAATCTCCTTCTGCATGTCCACTATTTTAGAAGGTGGATGATAGCGGGCCAGGAATTTGTTGGACAAGTCGGTAAATGTCGTGATTGACCCCGGAGGCCGGTTGTCCAACCACATCTTGGCCTGTCCATCCAGAGTAAATGGAAAGTAGCATAGTTGGATGACATCTTGAGGGACCCCATTGATCTTGTTCGCATCAATCAGCTCGTGGAATCGCCAGAGGTGTGTGCGGGGACTCTCGTCTGTCTTCCTATGGAAAACCACTGAACCTCTCAAAATTATGATAAAAGAGGTATTCACCTCAAATTTGTTGGCAATAACTTGAGGGTGTTGGATGCTTGACCTCATGTGTGCGGCCCTAGCGGTCCAGTAGTATCCCAAGTTCCGCTCCTCGGGCTGGTCTTCCACATCCCCAGCTCCATATTGGGATCACCCATTTCTCCTTCCTGTGCGATGTTCAGTTGAGTTAAGTCTTCCTCCGCAGTCATTCGTGCCTTTAGTGCTGTCTTAAACTGGCGACAAGTCCGTTCAAGCTTGTGGTCTAACAGATGTAGATCTCCCGACTAGCTATGGGTCATGCACTACCTGCACACAGACTGCAAACACAACCCATGAAGGCAAACAGGAAGAGGAAAACAAATGCAGAAAGAAAATGCTAAAGTAACAGATCTTCACGTTTCTGCAATAACTTAGAAGTCCCCAACGAAGGCGCCAAAGACTTGACTCGCTAAAACATAACACCAAACTACGACCAAATGTAATTACAGCTTAGAAATTCCGTATACTGGATCAGTTTTACTTATCGAACCTAGGCCTAGATGTACTGCCTACTCTATGATTATCTATTATCTAGCGGGACAAGTTGAGTGAAGTGTTCAATAGCAAAATAAACAAAATGCAAGTAATGGTTGAATTCAGATTAAGAAGGCTCAGTCAGGTATGAGTCCCTCTAGATCGCAGTTAGGCCAAGTTGTAATTATCCTAAGTCACTTCGATTGATGTTTAAACTGCGGAAATTTCTCAAACAGTGTGGAGTCTCGACTAAAGTGCTCCAGACCCTCTCAGTTTGAATACTCGGCGGGCGACTAACCTCCACCGGCGTAAGCCAACCGAGGCAATAAGATTTAAACTTCCTCTACTAGGTTCTAAACCAGTACAGAGCAGTGAATCGACTTCTCGACTAAAGTGGCCAATTCACTGCCTCCAATTCAAGATGCTCTTTTGACGTATATAGAGATTATCTTTCTAGGTCAAAGCAGGAATCACTAGAATTTGATCAGGACTCAGGCAGTTCTGAATAAATACTTCAATTGGATATAAATCAATCAATCATTCATGAAAAAGGGTTCATACAACTATTCCTAACATACAATCTAGTGTTCTTACATACCCAAGTGATATAGGGGATTACTTCATATAGAGAGAAAGAGAGAGAGAGAGAGAGAGAGAGAGAGAGAGAGAGAGAGAGAGAGAGAGAGGAAAGCTATGTTGGATGCATAAATCATCATGTAGACGGGATAAATATGCTCCAGGTCGTCAATCGTCACTCATCAAGGCTTGAATTGAGCTCCAATGATGGGAAAACTTGATTTAGGGCACTCAAGGGTCTTTGTTCGTCACTTTCTCTCTCTCTATACCTCTATTTTCAGCTTCAAAACTCGAATCGCCATCCAAAACCCGAGTTCCACTTGTAACAGCCCGAGTTGGGCATACCCGATCTGAATACCTGGTGGATATTAGGGGACCAGACCAGGTATTTAAGCAAAACGGTGCGCATCGTCATCTCTGCGCAGGGGAAATACCCGACCATTGGTGAAATACTCGGTCAGGTATTTTTAGTTCACGATCGGGGGCCTCATGGGTTCTCCCATATAGCTTACCAGGTCTCGCCTGAATATACCTAGTAGGATATATGGGTGGCCTGACTTGGTATTTTGCCTTCCAACTCCACTTTTCTGCCATCTTTCCGCTTTCGACCCGAAACTCTCTTCCATGCCTCCATTCCGCTTTAGGTCCTGAAATATGACACAAAAGCACAACCAAGCGTGAAATCAGCTTAAAACACGAGAATCGAGCCTCAAACGATGCAAAAATAGTGGGCAAAACATGTGTATATATCAAGTTATCAACTGTTTGGATAATCTCTATCTGTGATTTGTCGTGGTGGTTGTGCCTTTGGTTGGTGTGTTCAGCTTCTCCTATGACTACATTCAACGTCTTCCTCTTCATTGTTCCCAAACGCCCTGCTCTACTTCCCTGGCATTGGTCTAAAGATGGTGGTAGGATCTTTTTCGATTATTGTGCCGACGACTCCATAGGGTTGCATTTGAAGATCATTTAGGGTTTTGTGCTATATGTTATTGGGTTGTTGAGGGGTTCTTATGGGATTTTGGGTTGTTATTTGTTGTGAGCCTTTTATGTTGTCTTTGGATATGTTTATGGACTTTGATGTGGCTTTCAACCCTTAGTGATGAGCCCAAGGATGGGAACTCGATTCAGAATCTCACAACGGGGAGCAAAGGAGTCGTGATGGTGGTGATTTCATAGTAAAACAGAGGGTGGAATCGATGGAAAGTAAAGGGAACCAGGTCAGCAACCTCGACACAAAAGGGAGGAGGCTAACGTGGGTAGATTCACCAATCAACCAAGGTGAATAATTGGCTTGATTGATCTGCAATCCTTGGAAAAAACCAAGAACAAACCTAGCTCGCATGCTTGGGGAAAACTCCTCGTAGTAATTTTGATTAAACTCAAAACGTGCTTCTACAAATCAAAGTAATACGCCCCTTGGAATCATATCACAAAGTGAGGCTATTTATATCCAAATAAACCCAATTACAATCCTAAAAGAACAAGAACACAATTTGGAACCAAACAAGGAAAGGAAAAGTGTATAGATCAATGAAATTTGCAACTCAAGTAACCATCTTCTCTCCCAAGCTAGCTGTCTAGGAAACAGCTCTCGATGCCAACTTCAAGCTTCTGGAAATTGGCCTTCTGGGTTGAGTCGAGGTTAGCCAATTCCTTCTCTAGGTTTAGAAATTTTTATACTTTCATTCCTAACTCCAAGCTCCAGCTGGTCGTGCCAAACTTCGTGATTTCAAGCTCAAAGTTGCTATCTCAAACTGGCCTTATGCCTTAGTCAAAATCAGGCAGTTTTCAGGTTGCAGGGCAGGGTTTTGATTGGCTTGAAACACATCCTTCCTAGCTTTCCCTCGACAATCCAAATGCACCAAGTTGTGGAGGAACATCCAGTCTTCAAAACAAACCCTCAAACTTGCATTTCACTTACCCATTTGAGATAACCAACCCTCCAAAGTATGCTTCCTAGAACTGTTCCAACACTTAGACATTTTCCAGCTTGTTTCTTATCAACTTGGTCCGATCTTTGAGCGATCAATTGGAGCTTGTACGATGATGGAATTGAGTTCATATCACTTAGACTATCTCCAATAGGGTGCTAAAGAACTAAAATATAGCCCCCAACCCCCTTAGACAGTCATGTTGTATTGTGCGATCAAATTTACCCGTTTTGAGGCTAGGATCATATTTCCCTAGGGTCTCTCACAACCACTTACTCAAGTGGTAAGGGAAGAGTTCTATGGTGTTTAAAACTTGAATGTGGAGGTTGAGGTTCCTCTAAGATTGAAGTTCCTTTTGGTTTTACAAAATCAAAAGGAAAACAATGCATAGAAGTAAAGCTAAAGCTACTGACATACGGAGGTAGCAGGAGGATGAGGCGTTGGATAGGCAAGCTCCCCCTAGACTTTCTTAGAATCGTAACTCCAATCCTAGCAACATATGAGTTGTTAGATCTTTGTTAGGTTTATTCCTACCATATTTCATGCCAAATGCCAAGTCTAGTAGTGAACGATATCAAAACCCTATAGATGTTTACTTTGAGGAAGTCAATGCAGTTTGATCGATTGAGGATCGATCATGAGGGACTATTATGTCCAGTATAATCTACCCACAACGTCGGGTTGGAGAATATGAACTTTGGAGTCAGTCCTCGTGTTAAGCATGAAATCAAATAAAAATAAACCAAATGAAAGAACAAACAGAAGGATAAAGAAATGAACTCATTATATATATGCAAAATTGAGATTACATAGTCTAGAACCTCTAGGTTTAGTCTACCTATGCAACTAAGGGAACTCAGGCGATGAGTTCTCATGGGTACATCTATCAAAATGAGATCCCCAATTAACTCTTCAAACTGGCATCGAGAATAGAGATTTCAGGGACTAGGCCGCCAATTATGACTGATGGCGCTAATCTTCCTTTCGTATCCAGTTTCACTCTAAGTTGGGTGAGTCACTCTGCCGGCAGAGTAACAAACACCTATTGCCTCAGGGTCATCAATCGTCACTCCTTGGGGCTTGAATCGAGCTCCAATGATGGGAAAACTTGATTTTCTCTCTCTAAACCTCTATTTTCAGCTTCAAAACTCGAATCGCCATCCAAACCCGGGGTTCTACTTGTAACAGCCCCAGCAGGGCATACTCGGTTTGAATACTCGGTCAGGTATTAGGGGATCAGACCGGTTATTTAAGCAAAAATGTGTGCATTGTCTTCTCTGTGCAAGGGAAATACTTGATTAGTGAAATACCAAGTCAGTTATTTTTTAGTTCACGACCGGGGGGGGGGGGGGGGGGGGGCTCCTGGGTTCTCCTGGATAGCTTACCCGGCCTCTCCTGAATATACCCAGTTATGTATTTGGGTGGTCTGACCGGCTATTTTGCCTTCCAACTCCACTTTTCCGCCATTTCTCTTCTTCCGACCCGAAACTAGCTTCCCAGCCTCCATTTCCGCTCCAGGTCCTGAAATACGACACAAAAGCACAACCTAGCGTGAAATCAGCTTAAAACATGAGAATCGACCCTCAAATGGTGCAAGAATAGTGGGCAAAATATGTGCAAATATCATGTTATCAAATTCTTAAGATGCCCAAGGGTCATATTCCACAAGGTCTTCTAATGCATAACTACTAACACCACACCATTTATGATCGAACAGGAATAATAAAGACTTTTAGGGGTTTTTATTCAAGTAAACCAAGAAAAGTAAGACAAAGGAGGAAGAAGAGTAAAGTTATTTAGGATTTTTTCAAGTTATATATATGCAAAGTAAAGATAAGTTATTGAACAAGAAAGCATACTTGAGTATTATCATACATATTGTAACATCTCGGACCTTTTCCCAACACAGGTATTTTCCGCTTTGGGCATCGACCCTCACGGTTTATGACTTGGGATGCAATTCAAGGTGACTTCGCACTGACACAAATATTGTCTGCTTTGGGCCTCGACCCTCACGGTTTTTTACTTGGGGTGCAATTCAAGGTGACTTCCCATAAGGCCACGCATACTTGTTGTACTCCACACTGAGCACGTTAACTTCATAGTTCTCACAAGAACTCCTCCATTTCACCCCAAAACGAGTCTTGTCGGTTAAGGTTAGTTTCTTACTTATGAACCATGGATCTCTCCCGTGCTTTGTCGACGTGGGATTCACCTAAGGTGTTACACATATCAATACTCATTCATATCATGCATCAATGACTCATCTATAGCATCACTTTATCCATTATACTAAGGTCATCCTACTCGAGCTTTCACCACATTCAATAGGATATAGATTAGCTAATGCATGCTTTCGCTTCATGCCATCACCTAATCAATAAAGAACAAAGAAGTGGTGTCACATCCCGATTTCTAAAACCTTTAAATAATATTTTTTCTCTGGAGCATATTTAAAAGTTTGAAAGAAGGTAATAACATTGTACTCAAAATATCAATACTCAAAAATAGATTATCATACTTAAAAAGCAAAGCCTTAACACTTGGGAAAACCTCAAACCATAAAGTCTTATAAATATCCAGTCATTACTCATAATAATAATAAAGCAATATAAATAACGGTCTCAAACGGTGCTTACTCCGATCTGTGGTCAGCCATCCTTAGTATCGGTCACGTGATTCTCCTTTGGGGGCTTGCTCTCTCGCTGGATACTCCTCAATTGGGTGCTCCGTAGCTCCTCCTTTGTGACCTGGTGAGTGGGTTGGAGTCAGTCTACGCCATTACTTAAACTTGAAGCACTTAAGAGTATTCCCTTAAGTGTTCACCTCAAAACTTGTATAAGTTGTTTATACTTCCACCCTTTACACTTTAACTCTTAAAAACGTGGGAGTTGGAGTTACTCTCTACCCTCAAAATCCTAATCTTTTGACCGACACTCGTATCCCCTCGTTAACTATTCCAGCCACCCAACTCATATGTATGAGTGCCAACATAGGCCTAACCTTTAACCTTTCCTTTTATGGGAGTCTTATTGATTCATCCAAGTCATGATCTTCCTTTAAACTTCATATGAGTCTTATTTATTCATCTACATGAGTTGTTTATACTTCCACCCTTTACACTTTAACTCTTAAAAACGTGGGAGTTGGAGTTACTCGCCACCATCAAAACCCTTATCTTTTGATCGACAGTCGGATCCCCTCATTAACTAGTCCAACCACCCAACTCATATGCATGAGGGACAACATAGGCTTTAACCTTTCCTTTTTATGGGAGTCTTATTGATTCATCCAAGTCATGCTCTTCCTTTAAACTTCATGTGAGTCTTATTGATTCATCTACATGATCCTTAAGAGCATAAATTGCTCTTCCTTTAACTTTCACTAGGGCGGGGGATTGGCGTCAGAGAATTACTTCTCAACCTTTCATCCTAATATATTTAGGGTGAAATACCCCTTAATCTTTAGAGATCATTCAAAACTCAAATCATAACCTTATAGCTTCCAGTAAATATTGAAAGCTCATAAACACATACCTCAAAATCCATACTCAAATGAAGAGCACACATAATCGAACACAACATGCATAGTCTCAAACATTCATAACTCATAATACCGACATGCAACTTCATGTAAATACACGCTTAAAAAATTGTAAGACCATTACTTGAAAACAAGTAAGGCTTTGACTTTACCCCCTTAAACCACTCACCTCTCAAGTGATGATGACGTGAAATTCTTAATCCGATCGCTTCCTTAATCCTATAAACTGAAATTATCTTCCCTTAGTCGACAATCCTCAGATTTAGTCCCTTTAACGTATTGAGAAAATTTCCCTCCTTAATTACTTACTCAAAATCCTTTAAAAATAGCCTTAATCTCTTTCAAATAATTTCGTTAAAACTGGAACTATTCCCAACATTTCTCCATACTTATTTTTCCCCGTGTTGATTCAGTTTCCTCTTATTAACTTTTAGAGAAGACATGGTGATATAACACCATACCTGATACAACGAAGCAGAGAGACCCTGATTAGGTTCTCCTTGGTAGTACAATTATGACAAATCTTCCAACTTTCTACCACCACTATCATCACTATAGTTCTTCTACACAAGACCTATATGGCTATAATCATCCAACAGACTAGGAAATGCACCCACAGTAAAATGTACTTCACGTAACCATAAATTGAAAATCACTTCAGCAGCTCGTGGTTGCTCGCCATGACTTCTTCGACATCTCTCCTGCCAAATAAAAGATGTCAAAGAACACCAGATTAAACCAATCATACGCCCCCACGCATTGTTTCATATCAATAACCAATAAACTTCAAAAAATACTCATAAATTTCCAAAAAAATTCTTCTCCACTTAACACTCCTAATTCTGACCTTAGGTAACCCAAATCATTAATCATAAACCACACTTTGATAGACCCTTTTCCATAATAAATTTCATTATGAATAAATTGCACAACCATGTTACAAACACTAAAATTTCCCGTTGATAATTTTATAACATCAATTATCAGTCCTAGTTTCATATAAAATTGTTAATTAAATAAAAATATCTAGTACAACATTTATATTAATTAAAACCAATGATTAAATTATTTTTAAAAATATAATTACAAATTCAAAAATTCTCAAATTTATATAAAAGCATCATAATAATTTACTCTAATTTTTTAAATTACTAAATCATGAAAATATCCAGTTTTTGGCACGAGAAATAAACATATCCATGAAAAATACGATTTTCGGAACAAATTGTCAAAACTTAAAACTTTGAGGGGCTAACCTTTTTATACCGAACACTTGGGGACAGATCTAGGCAATTGCTTGACATTCTTTAGCGATGGTATCAATTCCTTCACGAAAAGACTATAATTTTCGTCCCATATTTTTACAAACTCGTATAATTCACATAAACGTCCAATTTACCTAAGGGACCGACCTTTTGATAAAGAATCACGAACTCGTGAAAGCCTAGGTTCTTTTCTCAAAGTCGTGTAGCCTCAACTCAATCTTGGTTAGCTCGATTGGATCTTCAAACAACATAAAATAAAGTACAGATGGGGATAGATACTCGACACAATCAAGTGTGACCGATTGATTGATAAGAGTTTTGCCAAGCTCTTCTGAAATCTTCAACAGAAAAACTCAACACAAGGATCTTGCCCTAGCTATGGAATCTACCAAAAGCTTAAACAATAAACCATAAGAACTCATCATCCATGGGGAAAAACTCCTTAGAGTAAATTTTCATTCAACAAAACTCTCTCTCTAACTCTAAATTTCGTGTTTACAACCCTTTACATAGCACAGGGCAAATAAAATAACCAAAACCCAAAAAGAAACAAAAACCTAAACCTAAAAGGAAGGCCAAACTCCGCCAGACCCGAAACTCGGTCCAAATACCCGGTCGAGTATTTTCCTGTCACGACGGGTGGTATTCTGCTTGTATTACCCGATCTCTTCTCCAAATCCCTAGTCGGGGAGTTTCACATCCTGGTCGGGTTTTTACACCTGCTAGGAGAATCATATCACCTTACCTCTTGGACGTGCCTAGAACTAGTTCCTAGTCAGTAGGGCCTCTGTTCCTCGCTGAGATTGACAGTCAATCACTCCGCTCCTTCACCGATGAAGCTACGACGCAAGATAGACCTTAGTTAGTCAGCCATATAGGTTTGAAGCTTGGATTGTGATGGATTCTTCATTCTTAACTATTGTTCAAGAGGGAGAGATGAAATAGTCAATTGTTACTGATGTAGTCCTTTTGCAATGTCGACGTTGATGCCAAAATGATGTTGACGATATTGAGAATCTTGGCGAACGGAAGGGCGAGAAAGGATGGAACAAAGTTGGTGATGACAAATGGTGAGAGTGATGGGAGGACAGACTACGATAGTGTATGGAGGGGGGGGGGGAGGATGGGTTCGTTCATGAGTAAAAGGGGGACTTCAAGTTATAATAGAGAACACTGTCGGTGGCGACGAGTAGGCAGAGTGGAGTTGGGGTCGAGTTGCATCGATCTTCCTCTGTCGCTTACATTTGGCCATTTAATTGAAAAACACTACACAAGGCCTCCTTCCTCTTTATCATTCTCGTGACCTCACTTCCTCCCCCACCTACGGTTATCCCAAATAATGAAGTACATTCACTCATCGTGAAGCTTTATGATGGCGTGAAAAAAATGGGGCGAGGGGAAATAACTGGGTCGTTGGGGATTAACTATATGAGTTAATTGAGTCGAGAGGGGAAATTATATGTTAGGGTGGGTTGACGTGTGGGGTTTTCCCGTTTCATTTTCTTTGTAATAATAATAATAATTATTATATATAATCCACATGTGCAACCCTTAGTAAGTAATCTTCTATCCAATTGTTCATTTATTATAGTCAAACTTGAATCCAAACGCCGAGGAGTTACATTTCCTCCACCTTTATAAAAATTTGTCACCGAAATTGGAACGGTAAGGTAGGGACTAAGAGACCACCACTTATACTAAGGAAAATCATATTCGATTTGGAATTGGTTTGACTGGGATATAACATTTCTCCCCCCTTAAAGAAAATTTCGACCTCGAAATTGTTATTGTACAAACATTGTCAGGGTTTATGAATGTCAATTCTCATTACTACCAACATACTACCCATGCTCGAGAAATCTATTCATTACAAGGGTCTATCAATTAAACAAAAATCTTGGAAACTCATGTTATTCTCTGTCTCCCAAGTTGCAACATCATTGCACTGATTCCTCCATATGACCTTCACCTTGGCAATC